TGCTTAGTACTTTCAGAGCTTTGACTTAAATTAGGATTAGTATACACTAGCAAATGCACAGGGAAACAGGTGGCAAGGAGTAATATCCTGGGACTGAGTGCAGTAGCCCATATGGCTGAATATGGTACGTAGTTGACTACAAATTTTGAATCTTGTACCACGTGGTTGTCTTGTAAATCAAATGAGTAAGCAAAGCACTGCAGACAATTTCTTTTGCAGACGCTGACTCTGGATAATTGCATAATACTGTGCTTATGTATTTTAATGGTTGCCATTAATCGCCATAATTGCTGTCCCTGGGTGATATTGTTGGAAATATTAACACTCTAATAGCAGTAGTAATCCTTTTATTTATCCATAAGCTTAGAAGCTGATATGTGACGAGTTAGGTACAGAAAATCTAGGATAACCCTAAAGGCTCTTAGCTGAAAACAGGAAAAACCTAATGGCTTGAAGCTAGTAAATAAGGTTAATTAGAGGTGCTGGAAGAGCTGATGATCAATAGTGATGAAAAGAGAAGAATCACAACCTAATACTTTCTTTTGGGATGGAAAATACAGAATTTTCTTTGTGAATTACAAGCTGTATTCTTTTCAGAATGTACACTGAAGCTTTCAAATGCAGATTTGAAAGCCTTTGGAGAGTTAGGTCTGGTGTACTCTTTTCTTATCTAGTCTCATAAGGGCACAGAATGCGCTTAGATGAAAAAGAACAAGGATTCCTTGCCTTATTGTAATGAAGGATGTGAAAATCTGTTTATTTGCCAGTAAAGTTTATTACAAGATTATTTGAATACGTGAAGAAATAGAAAACATTCCAACTTCTTAAACTGGAGTAGTGTTAAGCTAGCAGCTGTTATTAAATTTTTTTTTGTACAGAATGGATTGTATTTCTCCATCGACAGAAAAAAAAATACCACAACTATTTCTGCTTCTCCCTGCTGTTTTATAAAATAGGAAAGAAGAGGGAGGAATGTGATAGGCATTACTGTATGACTGTACAAGGCTATACCGCCATCGAGAGGTGCTGGGTGATATACCAAGTGCAGAGTTGAACAACTGCAAAAGTGGGGAGAAAAAAAAATTAAAAAAAATTCATATGTGCACATCTAGCCCTCCTTGTGTTAAAACACAATAAACATTTTGTAGGCATGCCGATTTCTAGTGATCTGTGTATGAGGAGTTCATGGATGGTGCAGGTATTGATTTTCTTGCTTTATATCATACAGAACCGTAAGTGCTTGTGATTAGATTAGGTCAAATGAGAAATACTTTCAGAATTATATGAGCCCTTTGTGGGACCTTTCAGATAATTAAGCTCTTGGTATTCACTCCTATATATGAGCCAACGTTCCCGTTTTTATTTAGTCACATCATAATAACTGGAAAGTAGTAAATGTGCTTTTCCAATCAGATCATTTGTTTATTTAAAAAAGAAATATGATTGGAAGAGGAGATAAAGAATTCAGAGTTGAGGGTATTCAGTGTAAAAAAAATTGATGTTACTGCTAACTATCTATACTCAAGAGTTTATAAAAGTTATCCCATCATGATTTTTATGACACTTAATGGAGAAATTATTAGGTTTGAGCAACCTGAGCTTAAACTGTGTTTATTCTGGCCAAGAAAATAGTTTCCAAGTTCTTACCTTTGGGAACATATTTTACAATAATTTTTAAATGAGGTGCACTTTTAACTATGAAAGGTGCCAAACAAGAAGTTAATGTTCTTCAACTTTTTGCCAAATGAAATGAGCAGGCTGATAACACTGATCATGTTTTGTATGTCTTTTCCACAACAGTTTATACCAGCACCTTGAAGAGGGAAAATAAATAAATAAACGAATAAATAAATAATGAGATTCTTTCATTACATTCACTATGTAAAAACTCAGAAGACAGAAACAATGCTATTGTGATTCAAGCTACTGATTTAGAGATCAGGATATCTGGAGACTGTTACTAGTTGCTTGTTTGAGCTTGGGAGACACACACACAGGGCATACAATTAACCTCCTTACCTCAAATCCCCTTCTTGTGAAACTAGAGCCTTTGTGCTTCCCTTACAGGAGCACTGGGAGGAAATAGCCATTAATATTTATGAGACACTTGCATACTGTGATGATGAATAACGCAATAGGAGTTACCGGTACTAGACAAGCAAGAAATCATTTCATTAGACAATATAGTAGCCATCTCCAGTTTGCTTCCCCTCCCTTTTGAGAATAGGGAGCTGCAGTTGCCAGCACGGATGATTAAATAACAGGGTGATAAAAGCTCCCCGCGAGGTGACTGTACTTGTTACCACTGGAAGTGCCTGTGCACTGGCTGATATCAAACCATCCTTGTTTCCATCGCAGGGTAGGCAGGTGGTGGGGTACTGCTGGGACCCACTACAATAGGTCCTACCAAGACCTTCTGTCAGGTATTGTCTGGCCTATCACCTTCAGTTACTCATCATTTGATGTTTGGTGTGTATCTTCCATCAAATTCAGAGAATGACAAAGGTTGTGCAAAGAGTTCTGGAGTAGTACCTAAATGGTTTTGCAGAAGCACTTCAATGGAAATTTCCTATGTCTTTTGTTAGAGGAACTGCTTGGGCAACAAAACCAGTAGAATTCACATCAGCTGTTTTAGTGTTTTTGGTAATGCCTGGTGCGTACAGGTCTCAGTGCTTTAAATATTTGAATACAGTGAGCCTGATTGTATGAGGTGGGTAAGTAATAGCATCCCCATTTTTCAAATAGCAAGCTGAAACAGAGGGAGTCTTGTGTGATTTACCCAGAGCCACAAACATGTAACACTCCCAAGTATTGCCACAGCCAGGCTGGACGTGCAAATGTAAGCATTTGTATGTGCTAGCACTTTAAATACTTCCCACTCGTTAGAATTCAGAAATTATTTGCCTTTATTCTCTATTAAAAACAGGTCTGTTTCAGTTTCCTTTCTCTAAATATGGCATTCACTTATAAACATTTTATAGATTTTTAAATTACTCAATGTTTTGGTACATTAATAATCATCAATTAAACTTAATTTTGTTGTCATCTTATGAGTATTGATATGGTTTTCCTGTAGTGAAAATTAAAGAAACACTTCCCATGGAGTCATGCTACAATGTAATGCAAGAATATCACACTGAGAGAAAGCAGTTTATTTGTGCTAACATAGAGCAGTTAATACGAGTTTTTAAATTAATGTACTTTAGAGGATGACTCTAGCAAACTTGCAAATGAATATTAGCACCTTGCAATTGGGATTTTATCATTTTAAGAATGAAAAATGTGTGATGGCAGTGTGGGAACACTTAATGTTTGTAATAATAAACCAAACTGTTTGTCACATAGGAATTTATAATTCATCAGAAAGACCCATCCAATGTTTGCTTTGATTTTGAGACTTTGCTAGATGAGTACACAAATAAAAGAGAATGTCTTTTTTTTTTTTCCTTTTTTTTTTTTTTTTTGAGTGCTAACTTAATATGTTTTAAGTGCGAACCTGAAATCAGAGTACGTGCCAAATAATTTATCATCCTAATTTCTGATGGCAATAGGAATAGCAATTTTATATGTACCAGGATTCTGGTTTGGTAAATGCAGTTAAATTAAATTATGCCAATTTGAAAGTCAAAACCAGTTGAGTTACACAAGAGCATGCTTTTTCTGGTCAAAATAGGAAACATTTGGGATATTTGGGGGGTTATGTAAAGACTTTAATTTGTAACCACACTGTGTATGCTCAGTCTAAGTGGTAGACAAGAATAGTTGTTCGTGCGATTTGCCATTTCTTCAGCACATTATTTAAACCATATTACTGTGCCTATTTTTTATTTTGAATGATAGCTGATCTGAGCTATGATTAATTCTTTTAACATTTGGATAATTTAAAAAAGATGTGCACATAATGTTTACATAGTAGACATGGCTAGATGGAAGTGCTTTTAAATACAATTTATTTTAGTCATTGCCTTCTAGAAAAAAAATTGTTTTGTTGTGGGGAGGGTTGTCCTTTGCATAGTCTGTCGTTTCAGAGCCTCGAAAAGAGCGTAGCTGCTGGGCTGTGTAATTAAGAAATTAACAGAAGTTGGAATGACGCTGTTGAATTTTGGCCAAATGGAGCTCAAATGAGTATTTCTAAATTCACTTAGCTTGTGTCATGTAACCTTTTTTTCTCGTTTCAAATTTAAGCTTGGGATCTGTTGGTGTGTCAAAATAGTAATGCCTCGTGTCACCTGTTGTGAATGAGATGAATTTCAATAGAACTGGCGCAGTCTAAAGTGCTTGCTACCACTGTGTTTTAAATCTGACTAGCTCACAAGATGAGTTCAGTGGTACCTTACCAACAAATACAGACCGACACTTAAGCAGTTCTGATGAATGGAATCCTTCAGGCTTTAGACCTTTGTTACTTGGTGCACAAGTAATGATGTGGAGCTCAGACTCTTGAATCAAGCAGCATTTAGTGACTCTGAAGCTAGTATTTCAGTGGGGCTTTAGAAGAGGAAAAGATATCTGCAGTTCTGGTTTCTGGAATCCATGCATTCTTTGTTTTGTGAACTTGTGCCAAAATTGAATAAGCTTCTGCCAGACTTCTACTCCTCAGTAGTATGTTTTCACAAAGTACCAGCGTGATCTTCTCAATTTCTTTGCTTGGTTACTCTTTTGCTCTGTTACTTGCTTTATGATGCTCTTGGCTTGTCAGTATTTTGTGAATTGATGTTGGTGAATACGTTCTTGCAGCAGGAGTTGAGGCAGAGTGTTTGATGTACCGCAGTGTCCTGCAGTGGCTGACCTGCTTCCTTTCTGTTTCCTGACCATTCATCTCATGTGGGGTAGATTTCTTGCCTTGGGAGCTGCAGCTTATTAACTAATATTAAAATTCACATCTGCTAATGGCTGAACTGACGGCAGCAAGATTAAAAACATATTCTCTTATATGTAGCAGGACATATGTTGCAAATAATTTAACGAGTTAACATACTGCCTTTTACTTTTAATTTCAGGCTGGAGGTTCTCAAGTGATCTTTACCAATCCACTAGAAATTGTCAAGATTCGACTACAGGTGGCTGGAGAAATTACTACTGGCCCTCGTGTTAGTGCCCTCACTGTACTACGGGACTTAGGCTTCTTTGGTCTCTACAAGGTACCTTTTTTTATACGTAAATGAAAAGCAAATTGTGAATATTTCAGATCAGAAGATTATTTCATTGTTCTTAAAAACTTTTGAGAATGAACATAGTTGTACTTCTTTTTCATTGTTTATTATGTGGTATTATATCTTCATTTTTTGCTCCTGATTAAGGGGAGACACTACCTTGTGATTTAAGTATGTGGCCATTGTGAATCTTACTAAAATTTCTTTCCTCTTTTCAGCAGATCTGGCTGTAAGTATTGTTGATTAAGGATTAGTTTATGTTTCCTGATACTCTGCCTGGTGTAAAGATAGTTATTTTTCATCTGCTTTCATTACAGAGAGCTTACAGTTGTGGAGCTGTGCTTTTGCTTTTCTGTGTTTGATTCAGCAACTTTCCCAGCTAAATTAACTTAATTAACTTTGCCATTGTTAATCTGGTGATGGGAATTAATTATAGCAGAATAACTAGTGAGGAAATATGGATGGTGTGAGCCCAGTGTGAAAGTAAACCCCTACAGCAAACTCCCCCTTGCTATTTTAGAAACACATTTCCACGAGTAATACTGTAAAAATACACTTCTGTGAGTGTATGGTGCAAACTCTACTCTTCTGCTTTCTCCGTTACTGTTCTCACATATATGTGCATAAATATCTAGAAATAAAGTTGGATTTAATGTTAGACTGATACACACACACAACCACACACACAGACTGCAGAAGGGTTAAAAACATCTTTGTTGAATCTTAACAGGGTGTATGCTGCAAATAATCGAAAGGGCGGACATACTACCCTCCGCCTTCAGATGAGGTGGACAAGATATGGAGGGCTATGAAAGGTCTTGGAATACTTTGAAATACCCATTATGCTCAGAACAAAAATTAATAAATTCCATACACCAGAGCACCGTATGGTGTTTCCTCAGATTTTGTAGCCTGCTCTCCAGGAGAAAGCTTCATGCTGTCTTTTTGTCCCGGTCTTTGTAGTGCAGCAGGCAGTATTCTTCCGTTTCTTATTTACAGCAATGAAACTGTAAACTGAAGATGTTTCGATAACACCAAATGAGCCCCATCCCCCTCCTCAACAATATTTAAATGTCACCCACATTTTTCACCCGCAATCCTTTTAAATCGTTCTTTTAACATTACAAAGAGGAAGCCTGCCCGGGAGGAGATGTATGTATGCTTTGGCCTGGTGAGAAGTAGCAGATCTGAATAGGATTTAATGGGGAGTCGTTTTTCCCTTTAAATCGACTTGCTAATTTTTTAGGTGTTTTACTGAAGCTGATGCTATTGTGTAAACGCCTAATAAATGACATTATGGTGTTGATTCGGGTGAGCATTTACAACTGAACAGTCTGCATCCCTGAGGCTGTGCAGGAATGGAGGGCAGCTACTGACTTGTGCTTGAACTGTTATAAATAAAATGCAACGTGAGAAAGAATGAGCAGCTGATTTACTACAGCTAGTGTTTATTCATTTGTTTTTCCTGATAACCTTCTACTGGTTGCTCAGGAGCGTTTGCTGTATTTTTTCCACTTTTAAACGGCATTAATGTCTTAAGTCGTATTATGGCTTATTTGTGATTTCTGAAGTATGTACTTTGGGACTGTTTGCAAGGAGTGCACCTTCTGAATGTGAGCTGTTACAGCTCAGATGTGCACTGGGACAGACACTGTTCTTTAATCCCAAACCACACGGTTTCACTGGGTCGTTCATTAAGTCCCTTCACCTCCTCCTCTTAAAAAAAAGATAAAATAGCAACCCATAAAGGTTTTCACTTTTTCACTCTTCTGTCTCTGTTTCTGAATCTTTCCCAAGTTCTGTTCCTTGTGGTTCGTGAGGTCTGTATTTGTCTTCTCCAAAAAACAGCCTGAGCAAACAAAAACAGAAAAGAGAAATAGAACTGAATTACATTGATAAATTTGGAAAGCTTGTGCTGTTAACTAGTCAGTTAGCTTTACGACTGAAACAGAAATGAGGGTTTTGTGTCTGTCTCACCGCTTCACATGTGAACTCTTAATGCGGTCTGAACTTTCTTTTGCATTGTAGGGCTTTCAGTGTAGCTCTCTTTTACATCCTTGTGAAGGATGTCTGATGCCTCAAATGTATTTATTTTAGTTGAACTTAAGAAGCATCCATGGCTATTACTGTGGAAGGACAAGAACTGATAACTGCTTTACAAAATAGTTTGTTTTGTGAGTCTTGAACTTTGTTATGTGTGGGCCTTTGTGTAAATATTCCAGGTGTTTAAACACTTCTGTATGTTAGTAGTGATTTAGGACCAACTGATTCGCTTAGTTTTGCAAGTGTTGAAAGCAAATTCTAGACTTTTCATTTCAGGATTTTTCATTTGAAACAGATGCTTTTTAATTACGTCTCTCTCTTTTTCTTTTTTTTTTTTAATATAGTCCAAAATTTAGTTGTAGGTGCTCAATAACAGGGTTTTGTCTATGTTTTTTTTTCCTTTTTTTTCTTTTTTTTTCTGTTTGGTATAAATCTGGTTGTGTTTGTTTTTTGTTTTTTTTTTTTTTTTTCTTTCTTTTTTTTTCCGTGTGATTGGTGCAGAGAAAGCAAAAGTAACAAGAATTAAGTATTCCATCAGCTTGGTTTATTTCAAGTGCATTCTGTTCTTTTTGGATCTGACCTGTTAGAAATTCTTGTAAAACTGCCCTAAGAAGGGTTGGCTGCAGTTTTCTACAGCAGTTTCCACCACTGCTCAGTGTCAGCATGAGAAAGTGACTGTCCAACGATTCACTTCTGATGTCTGCATTGGTGGCCATTAACAAGCATCAGTAGAGCTGAGTCCCGAGAGGAGGCCATTGGATGGGATGGTACAAGAAGCTGCGCAGAGACAGGATCCTCTGTTGCTTGCAGAATCTTTTTCAAGGTCTTGCTTTGAGGTGGAACAGAAAGGGATTCTCTCAGCCTGATAGTTGCCTGCTGAAATGCATAGAAAGCCAAAATTGTTGACTTTACTGTATTGCCAGCAGTGGAAAAAGTTGACTTGTTAGAGTGGTGAGATCAATGGCGGGATAGCACATACTTAATAGGAAGATGGAGTCCAGAAGTTCTGGTCTTAAGTTGGAACTAATATTGCCATCGTGTGATAATTGTTTACAATAGGAACACAGGCATTTTTTAATATTTTTCTGTGATGAATGAGAGCTTTACCAGTCAAGTTCATAAGTTCCTAGCACAGCAGAAGTGTTTCCACTGCTTGTCAATGTGAGATTACTTCTGTATTGAAAAGCTACAAACCTCTTAAATCAGGAGTGATTTCATCCAGTCTGCTGCACGCTGACTTCTCTGTTTCTCTCTCTGCTTTGGTGCTGCTTTGTTTACTACGTTGCATGGACTGCTTTAAAAATTGTTTTCCCAGTTCAGAAATACATCAACTTGAAAGCAGTTCTGACCATAACAAATCAGTCCAGCACTTTCTGCTTAGACCCTATGAATCTTGCTAAAATCTATGCTAAAATGTAGGTGAAAAATCATTATGTCCCATATAGTAGTCAATATGGAAGAATGTACTTCCATTAACTACAACTGCAGCCAGAAGATGCAAGGAGTTATGCAAGTCAGTCCTAGCTTTGTGAGGCAAATGCTTGCACGTCTCAACAAGGTCTGCTGTTTGTTTGAGTTAGTATGTTTTGCCTTAATTTCTAACTAGGAAACGCATTTTGTAGATTAAAACTCTCAAACTTCCCTGATACAGGTAATTTCAGTGTTCCTGTCTTTCCTTAGCAAAGAAAACCGATGCACAGATAAATAAATCTTAGGTTTCGTGTCAATGAATTAACAAAGGAAATGTTATGTATAACTTCTTTGCACCTGGCTGAGTGAATATTTCATTGATTATAATCCTAATTATCATAGTATTCTAGTCTAGACAAATTGCATTTGATGATCACTGATGTTCCTCTGTACTCAGGAGATTAATAGTCTTCCAGATGATTCCTTGTTGTGTTAACGTGGGGCTCTACTATGCTAGCGACAAAACAATTCACAGTAGCACTCTGTCGAGATCTCTGCTCTGTGTACTGATGTACTTTGTAGTTTTGATGTTAGAATCTGATCAATTTGTGTGGAAAACCAGTCTGCAGGACATCGGGGCAAGCAGACATAGTGTTTGACCACCTTCGTAGATTTTAAAAACACAACCCAAAACTTTCCTACAAGAGTTGCTTTCCCTACACCTTCCCTTTAGGCAAGAAAGCAGTAAATCTCTCCTTTGCCTACTGTTCTCAGAGTTTGGCACACTGAGTTCCTTCAGCCTCTCCTTCCTCACACACCATGGGCTTCCTGCCCAACTTGACAGCCCTGCACTGGACTTTTTTTCTGGTGTGGCAATGTCCTTCTTGTACTTGGGAGCCCAGAACTGGACACTGGGTTCCAGATGCAATCTCACCAGTGCTGAGCGGAAAGGGAATATCAGTTCCCTTGCATCCTTGCACAGCATGTGACTGTTCATTTTTACTGCACAGAGGCATTGCTGACCTGTTTTTTACTTGTCCACCGGCACCCCTGGACTTTTTTTGCAAACCAGCTTTCTGGCTACTCAGACTCAGCCTGTACTGCTGCAGGGCGCTGTTCCAGTCCAAATACAGGACTTTGCAATTGCTGTTCTGAACTTCATGATGTTCTTGGCAGCCTATTTCTCCATGCTGTGAAGGTCCCTGTGAATAGCAGCCTACTCCTCCAATTCAGTATCATCCACTAATCGGCCGAGAGTGCGGCCCATATTCCACTGATGTGGCTATGACGATTCTACAGCAGATCATTTCAAAACTTTGCCCATAGTCACAATTTACAACATCCCTTTCTGCCAGCTTGTCTACAAGTCTGGCGATTAGGTTCATCAGCCATTATCTGGAACATCCTTATTAGCTGTTGACAACATCTCCCTTGTCCTTTATGTGCCTGGAAACAGCTTCCAGGATAGTTTGCTTTATAAATTTCCCAGGGACTGAGGTGTATCCAAGCAGCTGTAGTTTTTCAGATCTTCCTTC